GGAGGAGAGGAGGTGTCTTCAGGAAGAGCAGGCATCTTCTGAGGAAACAGGGTGTCTTCAGGAAGGGCAGGGCATCTCCACGAGGAGAGGAGGTGTCTTTTAGGAAGAGCAGGGCATCTTCATGAGGAGAGGAGATGTCTTCAGGAAGAACAGGGTGTCTCCACAAGGAGAGGAGGTGTCTTCAGGAAGAGCAGGGTGTCTTCAAGGAAGAGTAGGGTGTCTTCAGGAAGAGCAGGGTGTCTTCATGAGGAGAGGAGGTGTCTTCAGGAAGAGCAGGGTGTCTCCACAAGGAGAGGAGGTGTCTTCAGGAAGAGTAGGATGTCTTCACAAGGAGAGGAGGTGTCTTCAGGAAGAGCAGGGTGTCTTCATGAGGAGAGGAGGTGTCTTCAGGAAGAGCAGGGTGTCTCCACAAGGAGAGGAGGTGTCTTCAGGAAGAGCAGGGTGTCTCCACAAGGAGAGGAGGTGTCTTCAGGAAGAGCAGGGTGTCTTCAAGGAAGAGTAGGGTGTCTTCACGAAGAGCAGGGTGTCTTCATGAGGAGAGGAGGTGTCTTCAGGAAGAACAGGGTGTCTCCACAAGGAAAGGAGGTGTCTTCAGGAAGAGCAGGGTGGCTCCACGAGGAGAGGAGGTGTCTTCAGGAAGAGGCTGGCGTCTTCATGAGGAAAGGGGTGTCTTCAGGAAGGGCAGGACATCTCCACGAGGAGAGGAGGTGTCTTCAGGAAGAGCAGGGCGGCCTCATGAGGAAAGGGTGTGTCTTCAGGAATAGCAGGGTGTCTTCATGAGGAGAGGAGGTGTCTCAGGAAGAACAGGGTGTCTCCATGAAGAGAGGAGGTGTCTCAGGAAGAAAAGGGCATCTTCATGAAGAAAGGGGGTGTCTTCAGGAAGAGCAGGGCGTCTTCATGAGGAGAGGAGGTGTCTTCAGGAAGAGCAGGGCATCCTCATGGGGAAAGTGGGTGTCTTCAGGAAGAGCACATCGACTTCATGAGGAAAGGAGGTGTCTCCAGGAAGAGCAGGGTGTCTTCATAAGGAAAGGGGGTATCTTCAGGAAAAGCAGGGCGTGTTCATAAGGAAAGAAGGTGTCTTCATGAAGAGCGGGGCATCTTCATGAAGAGAAGAGGTGTCTTCAGGAAGAGCAGGGCGTCCTCATTAGGAAATGGGGTGTCTTCAGGAAGAGCAGGGCTGTTGAGAGCCACAGCCGAAGGGGCCCCAGCAAACTTCCAGCTGCCGGCTGATGATTGGCTCACAGCGGCCCCAGCAACATCTAGCTGATTGGCTCCTCTGCGGTGATGCTCATTGGGCTGTTTCCCTGCCCTTTCAGACCACGGAGCTGTTCATGGGGAACCTGCGAAACAAGTGTGTCGTGTGGCCCATAAACTTCAATGAGAGCTATCTTGAAAATGGCACCAAAGGCTTTGATTGGGAAGAGTATATCAACAATAAAACAAATTTTTACACGGTTCCTGGCATGCTGGAACCTTTACTCTGTGGGAACAGTTCAGATGCTGGGCAGTGCCCAGAAGGATACCAGTGTATGAAGGCAGGAAGGAACCCTAACTATGGTTATACAAGCTTTGACACTTTCAGCTGGGCCTTCTTGGCATTGTTTCGCCTTATGACCCAGGACTACTGGGAAAACTTGTATCAGTTGACCTTACGAGCAGCTGGAAAAACATACATGATCTTCTTTGTCTTGGTCATCTTTGTGGGCTCATTCTATCTGGTGAACTTGATCTTGGCTGTGGTGGCCATGGCTTATGAAGAGCAGAATCAGGCAACATTGGAGGAGGCAGAACAAAAAGAGGCTGAGTTCAAAGCAATGTTGGAGCAACTTAAGAAGCAACAGGAAGAAGCACAGGGTCTCACTCTGTTACCCAGGCTGACTTGAATTCCTGGGGTCAAGCAGTCCTCCTGCCTCAACTTCCCAAGTACCTGGGACTACAGCATGCATCACCATGCCTGGCTATTAGCTGCCGCAATGGCCACTTCTGCAGGCACTGTTTCAGAAGATGCCATTGAGGAAGAAGGTGAAGATGGGGTTGGCTCTCCTCGGAGTTCATCCGAAATTTCTAAACTCAGTTCAAAGAGCGCCAAGGAAAGACGTAATAGGAGAAAGAAGAGGAAGCAAAAGGAACTCTCTGAGGGAGAAGAGAAAGGGGATCCTGAGAAGGTATTTAAGTCAGAGTCAGAAGATGGTATGAGGAAGAAGGGCTTTCGACTGCCAGACAACAGAATCGGGAGGAAATTCTCCATTATGAACCAGTCACTGCTCAGCATCCCAGGCTCACCCTTCCTCTCCCGCCACAACAGCAAAAGCAGCATCTTCAGCTTCCGGGGCCCTGGGCGGTTCCGAGACCCAGGTTCGGAGAACGAGTTTGCAGACGACGAGCACAGCACCGTGGAGGAGAGCGAAGGCCGCAGGGACTCGCTGTTCATCCCCAT